TCTCTCTCTCTCTCTCTCTCTCTCTCTCTCTCTCTCTCTCTCTCTCTCTAGTCAGAGAACCTGACTGTGTAGAGTTGGTCGTATTTAGAAAAGACATCACACCACCATCCGTCTGTCCGTCCTCCTCCCTCACTCTCTACGTCTCAATCCTTACCTCTCATTCTCATGCTCCTTCTTTCCGCACTCCTGCACATACAAGTATCTTCCACAAAACGCCGCCCACAACGCCTTTTCATCAGCCCCCACCCCGCAATCCCACCCTTTTTTCTTGCTCCCATGTTTTTCTGACACCCTATGCGCTGTTCCTCTTGTCTGTCTGTCTGTCTGACTGTCTGTCTGCCCCCCCCCTCTCTCTCTTGTCTGTCTGTCTGTCTGTCTGACTGTCTGTCTGCAGATCTGTACCCAGACACTTCCTAACCCCACTCCCACCCACCCCATTCCCAGCCATCCTCCCCCGATAAAAAAAAGGAGGCCCCCCCCCCCCCCCTCCCCCTCCTTCCCGAAAATATTCTCATGCCATTCCTTAGAATTGACCTATCTTCGTCCTTCTTCGTGTTTTAGTTGTTCATTATGATAGTGCTTACCCTGTTATTACAGTTGTGGGTTTTGCAGGTTTTACTAGTTGTTTGTGATGCTGCTGTTGTTGTTGTTTGTTGTTGTTGTTGTTGTTGTTGTTGTTGTTGTTGTTGTTGTTGTTGTTGTTGCTGAAAATATTTTTATTGTTATTGCTGTAGTAGTAAAATCTTGTTGTTGTTGTTGTTGTTGTTGTTGTTGTTGTTGTTGTTGTTGTTGTTGTTTTTGTTGTTGTAAATCTTGTTGTTGTTGCTGCTGCTGCTGTGTGTGTCTGGTAGCCTATCCGTTTTAAATGTTTGGAGCCCCGAAGAGTGTGCTCTTCGCTAGGGCCACCGCCCCTCCAACCTCCCTGAATCCTCCCCAAAGAGATGCCACCGCAGGACCTCCGTGGCGGGGCATCTCTGCTGCCAGTGTCCCAAATCTTAGGGCTCCTGGCTGCACAATGGACAGATTGGGTCCGAATCTGTTGTTGCTGCTGTTGTTGTTGCAAATCTTGTTGTTGTTGCCGTTGGTGTTGGTGTTGGTGGTGGTGGTAATCTTCTTCTTCTTCTTCTTCTTCTTCTTCTTCTTCTTCTTCTTCTTCTTCTTCTTTTTCTTCTTTGAAGATCAAAGCAGGCGAAAGAAGGTGGTTGGGGCAGGAGTGCTCTCGTCACACAAAATATGTTCACAGAAAACAACATGGTAGATGGAGTCTTAACCTTCTTACCTCTAAGAAGGCCTTGGTTTGTTTTGTTTTTTGTTTTTATTAGTTTAGTAAGAATTGTACGGCACTCGCAAGTGCATAAGGTCACATGAACGCGCGAAACAAGCTGAGTGCTTTCACAACAGTTCACAGCACAACTTGATTTTGTCCAATGGTTTAGGTTAGAAATTATGCAATAAAAATGTCAGTCTTAGAAACAGCACTATACATTCTATTGTAATAAAGAATGTCTAACAAGGAGTTCAATGAGATCCGTAAAACGTCAGAAGTAGTCACTCTTAATAATAATAATAATAATAATAATAATAATAATAATAATAATAATAATAATAATAATAATAATAATAAATAGCATTTGTATAGCGCATATCCCCGCTCAACAGCAGGCTCTATGCGCTTTACACTGCATTGTATATTATTACCCCAGCAGACCATAGAACACTCCGAAACATTCTCAGCTTCCCGGGAAGCATACAGTGCAAGCAGCTGATTAAGCGCTCAAACACTAACAAACTGACAAGATCTTTCGCTGTCTATAGCCGGGTACCCATTCCCACCTGGGTGAAGTGAGGAAAATTCGCGTAAAGTGCCTTTCCCAAGGACACAACGTCGGGCCCCTGACGGGATTCGAACCCACGACCTTATGATGCGAGTCCTACAGACAGTAAAGGTATCTGAAGATCTTTGGGGCATCTCTGTGTCTCACATTGTGTAGGGGTATGTCCTACTCTTACAGATCGTTGAGGTATATATTTCTCTCAAAGACGGTTGACCAGCATCTTTGGTGTGGCAGTTAAGGTTGGAAGCCCGCCTCCTATGGTCTACATTGTGTCGTAAAACACCTTAACATTTTTTTTACAAATCGGACGGAAGGAGGGGAAATCTCCCCCACTCAAAGACTGTATTTCCTCCTCTCATTTTTGGCAGCGGGTACACCCTACTTCTGCAGACAGTAAACGGTAAAGGTATCAGAGAGGATAGAGATATATCTTTTCTGCATGCACACGGTAGAGGTATCTCCTGCCCGTGTAGACAGTAGAAATATCTCTGATGGTAGAGGTATCTCCTGCCCGTGTAGACAGTAGAAATATCTCTGATGGGTGATGTATCTCCTGCCCGTGTAGAAATATCTCTGATGGTTGATGTATCTCCTGCCCGTGTAGAAATATCTCTGATGGTTGATGTATCTCCTGCCCGTGTAGAAATATCTCTGATGGTTGATGTATCTCCTGCCCGTGTAGAAATATCTCTGATGGGTGATGTATCTCCTGCCCGTATAGAAATATCTCTGATGGTTGATGTATCTCCTGCCCGTGTAGAAATATCTCTGATGGTTGATGTATCTCCTGCCCGTGCAGAAATATCTCTGATGGTTGATGTATCTCCTGCCCGTGTAGAAATATCTCTGGTGGTTGATGTATCTCCTGCCCGTGTAGAAATATCTCTGATGGTTGATGTATCTCCTGCCCGTGTAGACAGTAGAAATATCTCTGATGGTTGATGTATCTCCTGCCCGTGTAGAAATATCTCTGATGGGTGATGTATCTCCTGCCCGTATAGAAATATCTCTGATGGTTGATGTATCTCCTGCCCGTGTAGAAATATCTCTGATGGTTGATGTATCTCCTGCCCGTGTAGAAATATCTCTGATGGGTGATGTATCTCCTGCCCGTGTAGAAATATCTCTGATGGGTGATGTATCTCTTATAAGCATCTCCTAAGGGTATCTCTTCCTTAAGTAGACGCTAGAAGTAGCCTTTGTTTTGTTTGTATTTGATACGTGTTTTACGGCGCTTGCAACTGCGTAAGGCCATGTGAGCGCGGGGGACCAATATTTTCAGTTCGGTAGGAATTTATTTTGAATTTTGCCAAGGTGGTGGCTGTGGCCAACTCTTATCGATTTTGGACCACCGATGGATCTTTAACATACGCAACTTAAACGCGGGCCCTCCTAGATTTTTAGCCCTTATCCAAGAAGGCAAGGTTTAAGATAAGCTCCTTGGGGTGCGGCTGAAAGACAGCAGTAAGAAGAAGCCAAGTAGCATTAGAAAAGCTGTAGTAAAAGAGGAGGCAAGGTGGGGGTTGGGGGGGGGGGTAGAGGTA